CAGCCTGAACAAGTAACGAAATCGTTACAATACCAACTAATTTTCAGATTGCTGATATGTTAACAAAATCTTTGCCTAGAGTAAGACTGTCAGATATTTTGCCTCTTTATAATGCTATATATTAATTGCATTTATGTATTGTGCGATTAAGGGCGAGTGTTGAGGAAAAACTGTAATCGCACTTTTCTGAAGCAGTTTTCTTCTACGTCCGCATGTTATAGTTATCAGACTGTTCTGATTGGCAGTTAACTTTTGAGCCCAAGATGGCTATAAATACCAGTAACTTTGTTTATCAGATGTTCTTTCCTATTTCCACTTTCCTAATGTATTTTCCAACTGTGTAACTCTCTGTGTTCTAATAAACATGTCTTTCTCCGATCCACTGATCTCGGAATTTCATTACATCAACAAAAATATATATAAAGTGAAAGATAATTAATATTTTCTAATGCGATGTAGCACTACTTTGATTTTTTCTCACATTTTCAGCGAGATTTCTTTTTCTTTGAGTGCTGTTCACGAACAGGTGGACGCCCAGAGGGTATCCTCTTGCTGCCCCTAGTAACTCCGACTCTTCTACGGCTTATTGACGAAGGTTGAACTTTAATTTTACCTCTGGAGGTTTTGGAAATGTAAGCACCAGCTGTACTTAGAAAAGAGTCCCATGCACTTCGAGTTTTCACCACATCGATCCTTTTCCTGATTCTATTTATAAGTAATCTGGACGTGCCAAATTTCTCATGGCATCTTCGTTGAGCCTAAAATATTAAAATAATTCTCTAAGAATTTCCAACATTAAATACCTTTAGAATTTGCAGTACATTATTAAAATCAGACAAACGAGTAAATAATCTTAATATTGTTTGTTTCAAATTTCTCATTATCCGTAAATTAGAAGAATTGCCAAAGATATGAAAAAAAGAGATCATTCTCGTCTTGAAATATTTATTGTAAGAAATTTTAAATATTTTAAATTTGCTGTCAACGAAATATAACTCATAATATTTGCTCTCATGGAAACAGTATCGTTACAAAATGTCTTATTTAAAAAGGAGTCGAAAATAATATGAATTTCTTATTAAAGCTTACTATACTTTTAGTTTAAATAATTCGATAAAAAAAANTAGATAATGCACATTTTCAAAAATATATTTTATTATTTACAAAACAAATATTGAGTGCAGGTTTATACGTAACATAAATAAAAAATAACGTAATTAAAAAAGATAACATGATTAAAAAAATAATATAATTAAAAAACTAACATAATTAAAATATATATAAAGTGAAAGATAATTAAAATTTTCTAATGCGATGTAGCACTACTTTTATTTTTTCTCACATTTTCAGCGAGATTTCTTTTTCTTTTTTTCTTTGAGTGCTGTTCACGAACAGGTGGACGCCCAGAGGGTATCCTCTTGCTGTCCCTAGTAACTCCGACTCTTCTACGGCTTATTGACGAAGGTTGAACTTTAATTTTACCTCTGGAGGTTTTAGAAATGTAAGCACCAGCTGTACTTAGAAAAGAGTCCCATGCACTTCCAGTTTTCACCACATCGATCCTTTTCCTGATTCTATTTAAAAGTAATCTGGACGTGCCAAATTTCTGATGGCATCTTCGTTGAGCCTAAAATATTGAAATAATTCTCTAAGAATTTCCAACATTATTAAAATCAGACAAACGAGTAAATAATCTTAATATTGTTAGTTTCAAATTTCTCATTATCCGTAAATTAGAAAAATTGCGAAAGATATGAAAAAAAGAGATCATTCTCGTCTTGAAATATTTATTGTAAGAAATTTTCAATTTGCTATCAACGAAATATAATTCATAATATTTGCTCTCATGGAAACAGTATCGTTACAAAATGTCTTATTTAAAAAGGAGTCGAAAATAATATGAATTTCTTATTAAAGCTTACTATACTTTTAGTTTAAATAATTCGATAAAAAAAAGAAAAAAACTCTTTCCAGAAACAAATTCACAGGCTCAGGACATTGAAAAAGTACTGTATTTAACTGTCATCAACAGGTTACATGATGGTTAATATTATTTGATTAATAATGCATAATCAACTGTTTTAGATTCGCGTATTCTCTTAACTTAAACAATTTACAATAATAAAAGTTCGTCTCGTTCTACATTATATATATGTGTGTGTGTGTGGTGCTTATGGGGAGAGAGCACTCTTTTTGCGGATATAATCGTGTGGGCTGATGAAAAGATTATATCTTTTTTCTTCCGGTTTTTAAATAAAATTTCATCTTTTTTTTTCTTTTTTTGTAATCAGTTGTTTGTTATTTTTTTTAATTATTATTCCCCCCCCCCAACTTTTTTTCTTATGTCTATGATTTCCTTGTTTTTATCTTCATTTTGTACTTATCTCATGAGTTCTGTTTACTTGCAGCTTATGCGCAATAAATGAAACTTATTGTTTTTCTTAACTTTCTTTGTGTTTTCTTGTATTTATTCATTTTGTTATATTATTATATATATATTACTGTCACTTTACTGTTTTCACAGTATAAGCTCGAAGTTTCCCCTGTTTCTTGCCTTTCTTTCTACAACAGTATTGAATTTCAGTAAGAGCCGTCTAAAGATGTTAATAAATTTCATCTGATCATAAGATCAAAAGGTAGTTTCATATTTTTTTTGTNTCCTTGCTCTCTACCAATTGAACCCAAATCTACATCTGCTAGTTTTATGAAAGGAGATAAATTTGTAGGTCCATATCGAGAATTAATTGGTTCTTTATTATACTTAGCATATGTTTCTAGACCTGATGTTTTATTTGCAGTTAATTGTCTTAGTCAAATTCAAAAAAATCCTACTGATGTAGCTTGGTGTGCTTTAAAGAAATTGTTGAGATATTTGAAGGGAACTCAAGCTTTTAAAATTGAGTATAAAAGAAACATTACAAAAGAATCTAATTTATCTATGTATGTTGATGCAGATTGGGTATCAAATCCAAAAGACAGAAAATCTATAACTGGTTATGTAATAATGTATTGTAATAATCCTATTTTGTGGCGTTGTAATAAACAAAATTGTATAGCTCTTTCTTCAACAGAGGCAGAAGTACTTGCTTTATGCAAAGGTGTTCAAGATTTATTACCACTGACAAACTTTATAAATGAAATTATTAAGGTTGATAATATTATCATTTTCGAAGATAATCAATCTTGTATTAAATGTGTAACCAATGAAAATTCTCATGGCAGGCTAAAACATATCGATATCAAATTGAAATACATTCGAAATGCTATTACTGAGAATGATATTAAAGTTAGTTATATACTGTAACATCTTGGACAGCTGACCCCGAGTACATTCCCCTCTGGCATCCGGTGTCTCCCCACGAAATTCTAAGAACTCGATGCACCTGCAAAAAGAGGAGAAAGACTGGACTCTGTAACAGAGGCGACAGGGAGTCTGGTGAGACGAAGCATCATGAGCGGACCTTGTGCCGTCTCGATTTGAGAACTTTTTATTATATAATTTTGTGTTCGGTAGAAGTGATGATAATTGTAAATAACGGTGTATATAATTGTAATACAACCTTGTACATATAAAATTTACCCAGAAAACTTTATCAAAAGTTTTGTTTGTTTTTTATAAGAGTTTTAGTTCAGCCTGAACAAGTAACGAAATCGTTACAGCTTATATACTCTTATATATATATATATATATTTAAATGGTGGCAGCGGTGATACGTGCTCACACCGAACACAGAAGGACGCCTTGTTGTCCAGTGAACTTTCTTTGAAAATAACGGACTCATCTGTCCAGCTTACACGATTTGTAATTAATTGAAGGGACAACCTGTCCATTGATAAGGAACTTTCATTGATTGCTGTCCAGTGATTGCAACTGTCTATGGCTAAGGAACTTTCATTGATTGCAACTGTCCATTGCTAAGGAACTTTCATTGATTGGAACTGTCCATTGTCCATTGCTTGTCTATTGGAAGGAAGGTCCGGTGGAAAACCATAGCTGAGGTTCTGAAGAAGGGACGTCCTGTCCACTGCTATAGGCCTTGTCCATTGCAACCTGTCCAAACCCATAAGTGGATGCCATAGTTGTAACTATAAGCTGATGATCTGGAGTGCTACTTCGACATTAAGGAAATAAATTAGAGGAGACGTTTTATCTAACGAATAGATAAGAAGGTAATCTTAATTATCTTCTAGAGGCTTTTAAATAATTTTTGTAAGCTAGTATTAAAATTATTAAAACTGTTTTAATTTATGCTAAAATTTTTGCAAAAATTATATGGCAAATTGTGCAATAAATTTACATAGATGTTTTAAAATCCCTTTGAGAAATAATATAATTTTCGCTCAAATAGAAAATAAATTTTAAACTATAGTATGGAATTTTACAAATTCTTAAAATAAAGATTATAACAAATTTTGTGAATCTAGTTAATGCATCTAATTACAATATTAAAAGGGTTATGTAGTTAAATTTTTATTATTGAGAGTGAGTTAATGATAGATGC